TTCTACTTCATTCTTTTGCCATTATCTTCACATTACTTTCTACTTCACCCGAAACTACCTCGCTTTCTCACTTCTTCGTGTAATAGGCGGTTTGGCATGTCGAAAGTTGTTCGAAAACTAATTTCGAAAATTTCAAAACATTCATTTTTTGTTTCTTTCTTCTTCTTCTTCACTTATAACATGACGTAGAACATAATTCTAAGCGGTAACGGAACTGGTAATGGTGGTGGTGGCAGTCCGGCGATGGCGGTGGGTTTGGTGTTATGAGGTGGTGTTGGTGGTGATGGTAATACCTATGGTGATGGCAATGGAACTTGGTTGTGAACAAGGTGGGTTTGGTGTTGTAAGGTGGTGGTGATGGTAATGCTCATGGTAGCGGTAATGGAGTTCGGTGGTAGTGAAGTTGATGGTTCGAGTGGCAGTGATGGTGAAATTGATGGTAGAGATTGCATATGTCTTGAAGAATATTTTACTATTTGCTATGAGATTTTTCTTAACAATACAAATTTCTTAATAATACAAATTAGCTATTTGCTATGAGATTTTTCTTAACGATACAAATTTCTTTTGTTCTTGGCAAAACAGTTGAGGTTTGCATCTTATTTACGATCCAAGTCTGAATGGGCACGGTGTTCCATTCAAATGGACAGAGAAAATTCCAGTAGGAAAGATGATATGTATGTATATAATTGAAGAAGAAGAAGAATAAGATCACTACCGAACCACCAACTTCACTGCCACCGAACTCCATTACCGCCACCACTACCATCACTAGTTTCGTTACCACCTAGAACCATGTTTCACATCATATTATAAGTGAAGAAGCAGAAGAATGATGAAGATAGAGAAGAAAGAAACAAATGATGAATATGTTTTGAAATTTTAAAAATTAGTTTTCAGGCAATTTTCGGCATACCACAACACTAAGAAGTGAGAAAGCGAGATAGTGTAAGGCGAAGTAGGAAGTGAGGTGAAGAGAATGACGAAAGAATGAAGTAGAATTGTTAAGAATCGAAAAATATATGAAGTCCGAAAATGATTCGAAGAAAAGTAAAAAACGAGAAGAAAAGTCTCTTTTTATTTTTAAATCAACTTTCGGAGCTCCGATAGTATTCAAAAAGAGGTAGAAAACGTGATATGAAAACTAGACTGTGAGTTGAATCCAATGATGTAAATATGAGGCGAAATGAAATTATGACGAATGAGATAGAAGGGCTTAAAGTGATGGTTGCTAGTAGTGGTTTGTTGGTAGAAATGGGTGGGTCTGCATCTTTCTTTTCAAATTTAGGGCAAAAATATAATTTTTTTAACCTTTTGCATTTCAAATATGACAACAGGGGCAAAATTGTTAGCAACTTAAATAGTATAGGGGCACGCGTGAAAAAAAAATAGTATGAGAAATTATTAAAAATCGTGACAAAGTATAAATGTAAAAATGAAATAATCTCTTAAATAAGAGAAAGGAAAGTTAGGAGGTGGTGTAGCTATATAATAATTCCAACAAAAAGAAAAAAAAAAAAAGGGGAAAGAAAAAGACGGTTGTGCTGTTTATATTTATTTATTTTTTTTTAGTGTCTATGTATAACAATTATTTTATTTTGATTCTTAATTTTTAAGGTAAATTATAAATACATCTCATAAAATATATTTAAAATGTGAATTATTTTTGTAATTTGAAAAATTACAAATACTTGTTGGTTAAAGAATTTTATTTAAGAGAATTAATTGAAAAAATAGAATTCTTGTTTTCTTATACAATGATAAAATTACTTGAATTATTAATTATAATAAATATCTTATATTAAAAATTGTTAATTAACTTGTTGATTTATTAAGAAAATAAGTAATTTATTATGAAATTGAAAATTTCAAAGGACGAGATGTAATTTTTAAAAATTACAAAAGATAAATCATATTTTAAACAAATTGTAGAAGTATATTTATAATTTGCCTTAGGGTTCGATTGGGATGTTGGTTGGCTTTTAGATTTTTTAACTATTTTAGTTTATGGCTAAAAAGTCTTGTTTGGGATAGGTTTTTTGGTTTTTTTGAATTTTGTGGGAGAAAAAATAAAATAATTATGATTTGAATGTGATATTTTGTCTTATTGAATTAAAAAATTATTTTATTTTTTTGTAACTATTTTAATCAAAAAATTCTCATTTAACTTATGCCAAACAAGGATTTAATTTTTATTATGTATCAATTATTTGGGGTCAGATTAGCCCTCGGACATTATGCCTAATGATGGAGAGTGGGATTGAACTCCCACAAATGAATGGCAGGATTAAACTTCGAGATCAATCAGTTTAATAGACCGCATATCGAATTACAAAAATAAATAAATAAATAAACTTGATCATTGACCATTCGACAGCACCTCTATTTGGATTATGTTTTATCTATTTAAAGGTGGGGAAAAAAATTAAAACTTTATCCTGACTTTTAAATATATAGAAAAATCCAAGAATTAAGAGTTAAAAGCCCAAAAACCAAGTTAAATGTTGGTGGCATGATTTTAAAAATTGGACTGAATTGGCTGGTTAAGCCATTGATCGGTCAGAGTTTCAGTTCGGATATACCTTCTAAGTCGTTTGAAGTCGAAAATCAGCCTATTTAGAGAGAATCGAAAAATCGGTGATTGGACCGCTGAACAGAATGACCCGGAGATGGGTCAAGCGAACTAGAAAAACTGATTATTAGAATGCCGAACCGGATGACCCGAAAACGGATCAAGCGAATTGGCTGGGTTGATAAAACTAAAAATTTTAGACTTTTTTTTGGTATTTTCTAACTATTTTTTTATTCGTTATTTCTTTTTCTTTTTTTCTTTTTTATTATATATATATATATATCAAAATTTTGATTAGAAATTCTCTTTCAAAGGTCCCATCTTGTGAGAAATTTCATTGAGAGTTTGAAATTATTGTGAAAATCTCTACATATTTATAAGAAAAAAATTATTTAAAAAAAACTCAAGAAATCAATGTGAGATTCAATCAAATTTATTGTAGGAATATTTGAAATTTTGATATCTTTTCAAAATTTTCACTCTTCTTTCAATCAAATTATTTGAATTAAAATCATATCAAGGAAAATTTGAATATTTGGCTTCTATTTGGTTTCCTCTTTCAAAATTAAAATTAATAATATTTTAAAATATATTACTATATTTTTTAATAAAAAAATTAGGAAAAATATTTAAAATATTTTAATATTTTCAATTTTTTTTAATTTATATTTTTATTATTTATATTTTTATTTAAATATAATTTTAATATATTCATGACATTACGATTTAATTATAATTCAATTTGATAGTTGAACCAGCAGCCCATTTATCTCATCTATTTTTCGATTCGGTCTTCAATCTGATTTTTAAAACATTAGCTGGTGGTACTGCCCATAATAGGTCCTACCAGTAAAAGATTACAAAAAGCAATGTCGGGTTAGCCTTTTTTTTCTTTGTGAACGTTTGGATTTTGAATTTGCTTTTTGGGATTTGGATCATTTCCATTATATGAATGGGATGAAAATGTCTATTATGTAGTGTTTGGAGAGATTGGTAAAAAATTAATTTTTGATTTTTTTTAATTAAAAAAGTTAATTTTTTGGGTAATGACTTAGGTAAAAAAGTTAGTTTTTTTGGTTAAAAAAATTAAAAGTTAGCTTTTTGCTAGCTTGCCAAAGCAAGCCATATTTCATGATGAATAATGTCTCCTTTGAAAATAGATTATTTTACTAATTTTTTAATTTTTTAGTTAAAATATGAAATAAAAAAATTAATATTTTTGAAATGATTTTTTAAATTTTTATAAAAAGATATGTAAAAAATAAAGAAAAAAAAATATTTGACTTTTTAATATAAATTATAAGCTTTTTTTAATAACTTTTTGATTTTTAAACTAAAACTATAACATGCCAAACGAAGCCCAAGAGTAACTCCAATTATTAATAGATATCAAATTTGACAGGTCATTAAAACTTCAAAAACCATAATAATTTTTATATTGTTTTCATTTTTATGTGGAAACATTTCGTATTGCTTTAACTTTAAAAAGCTATTTTAAAGATTTCATCAACTCCTTGTAAATATGAATTAAACATTTTTTAAATCATCTCTAATCTTTTATCAAATTTAAATTTTTATATTGCTTTCATTTTTATGTGGAAACATTTCGGTTGCGTTTGGTAGAGTTTTAAAATTATAATTTGAGAATAGAATTGTATTTTGAGTTGGTGAATTTTGAAATTATAAATTGAGTGTGGAAATTTGTTTGGTTATGAGTTTTGAATTGGGTTTGAATTGAATGATATGACATATGATATTTGATTAAAAAATTTATAACTTATAACCAAACACACAACCTAAAATCCTATTCAAAACTCATAAAAAAAATTTAAAAAATTCCGATTTTTTTTTTACTTAAAATACAAAAATAACAGGTGCTAAAAAAAAACAAAAAAATATTGTTCCGGTCAACCAGCCGAACATCCGGGGGGACATTCGAGAGGATGACTGGGTAGGCATGTTTTCAAAAGTGGGTGTGAAATTAATTTTTGAAATCACTAACCAAACACGACACTCAAAGGACGGTGAATCACGTTTCAAGAGCTCCACCAAACAACCTCTTTTTGCTCTAACTTAAAAAACTATTTTAAAGATTTTATATACTCCTTTAAATATGAATTAAATAATTTTTAGACCATCTTCAATCTTTTATTAGATCTTTCTGTTCATTAGTTTGGTATCAAATGAAAGAAGCTATACTTTTTTCATCAAATGTAGGAAGCATTTATCCTTTCATCAAATTTGTAAGTGATTGTTGAACCGGACATCTGTCCAAATGCCCTCCCAAACATCCGGTTTTGAGATAAATTTAATGAAAATTTATTTTAACATTTTCATGCACGAAATTGTGCACACTGTAAAATGTGATGCGGGAAAAATCCAAATTAAATAGCATCTAATTAATATTTTTTTTAGGAAAACAGAGAACGATAATAAAAGAACAAAAAAATATATATATCAAATAAGGAAGGGGAAAAGAATTACAACATTAACAAAAGCCAATTTAATACAAAGCCACCAACCCTGAGCAATACTAATACCTACAATACCTAATAAATCTTCTAAATATAATCAACAAACATGAGACTTATATACGGCTAATTAAACCAAGAAACCAAACACCAAACCTTAATCACAAGATAATTCATAGGAAAACCAAACTGTTATCATCATAATCAAATCTCATTTCGTCTAAATTTGGAGCAACTCCATCCCCCAAGCTGCTGCTTTCTTCGAAACCCATATCGAATAAGAACCCGTACTCGTCCTCAAGCTTAGAGTTGATTTCAGTGATTGGAATGTTATTGTTTATCTCCTGAGATAACTGAACAAAATTAGGGTTTATTGCGGACAAGTGTAGTACAGTGCTAGGGTTTTGGTGTTGGTCCGGAGGAGGAAAAGTGGCACGAGTAGTAGCAGTAGTTATGGCACTTTCAAACTCATTTTGTGGGCTAAGGTTGTTGTTGCTGTTCTCTGATGCCTTTTTGTGAAATACTCTACATAAAACCCAATCCTCCTGTCATTCATCAGTATGAAACAGTTAGATAAAGTTAATTAAAAAAAAAAAAGAAAAATGTGCAAAAAAAAAAATCATCTAAGAGTGTGCTGTTCTTACTAGTGGGTCCATTATAGGCCCTCTCATTCTGATGATTTGATTATTTAATTTTTTAAACTCTAGTGCACATCATTTATAAAAAGAAATTAAAAAAATCAAATTAATATGATAATTGTAGTAAATGATTTAATTACACTTGTCATTGAAAAAAATAAACGGTATATTTACTAGTGGGTCCATTATAGGAGCAAGGATCCTCTAGAGTAATTTTTCTCTAAAGTTTCTTAAAGTGTTGCAGTGTATGGTTGAGATTTACTGGCAAGTCACATCAATTTTTCTGATGTGACTTGTCAGTAAATCTCAACCACACAATATAGCACTCTAGGAAATTTTAGGGAAATTTCACTCTAGAGGATCCTTGGTGCCATTATAGGCCCTCTCATTCTGATGATTTGATTATTTAATTTTTTAAACTCTAGTGCACATCATTTATAAAAAGAAATTAAAAAAATCAAATTAATATGATAATTGTAGTAAATGATTTAATTACACTTGTCATTGAAAAAAATAAACGGTATATTTTTTTAATTATTATTGTCATTTAAAAAAAAAAACAACAAAATCATGTGACTGCAATTATTAAATTAATTTGATTTTTTATTTTTATATTTTTTTTTATAAATGATCTAAATGCAAAATCTTAAAAAATAACAAATTAAATCATTAAAATAGAGTTCATAGTAGGCCGAACTGCCCAAACTAGACCGATGTAGGCTAGAGAAAAGTCCAATTCAAATATTTAATTAGATGACGATTTTCAATTATCGAGTAACTCTGTTTAGAATGAACAATGGGACAATCACACTCACTTACACACATGGAGTGAGAGAGCAAGTCTTAGGCTTCGTTTGGAACAGGTTAATTTAGTAATTTTTTAATTATTTTACTAAAATATGAATAAAAAAAATTAGTATGTTTGGGATGATTTTTTGCGAAAAGATGTGCAAAAAGTAGAAAGAAAAGAGAATCTTTGACTTTTTGATATGAGTTGTTAACTTTTTGACTAATTTAGTAACTTTTTGACTAAAAAGGAGGATTCCCAAACGAGACATTAGTTTGGATAGAGTTAGAATAGTTTGGTTTTTTTAGTTTCGTTTGATTTTTATTTTTAGTTTTTTTAATTTTTCTAAGAGAAAAAATATGATAATTATAATTTGAATATGATATTTTATCTCATTGACTTATCTAATCAATTTTATTTTTTATACTTTTTTAACTAAAAAGTGAAAACCAAACATAGTTTAATAATGTGAGTCCTATGAGTAAGTGTGGGATGAATTCAAAAGCAGTAAAGGTAAGATGAATAAACCTTGGGAGGTGAGTGTGGGTTGTCAAGGCGAAACTCATGCATGATCCAACCAGTTTTGATCCCATTGGGAGCTCTGTTTTGATAGAATACCAGTGTCTTCCTCATCCCCACCACTTCTCCGCTCCTCGGATCATTCACCGTCCGATCCTTCCCTGTTGCTTTCCAGTACCCGGTTTTTGTTGCCCTGTTTGTCCGAAACCCCGTCGCATACTTGCGATCCCGAAAGCTGAAGAAGTACCACTCGTTTGAATTCAGCTTCGCCACCTCTTTTTTTTACATAGCATAACAGTTAACAGCATGGAGAAAAATAATAATAATAATAATAATACAAACAAACGGAGATAATTTTATTATTTATATTTTTAATAATTACGAACATAAAACAATAAACAAAATATATATTTTAAACAAATCCTACAAATTTGAATTTGGACCACAAATTTCAATTTCTGTGCATTTCCATGTTTGTGTGTGTCAGGAAAATATTTGCCTACATGACGTTAAAAAAAAAAACTTCAAAAGTTTGGCTAAAAATCATACAATAATGCAACCCCTTGGTTGGCCGAGTTGGTAAAATTTAAGATCTCAACCACAAGTCATCTCACAAGATTATTGAAAGTTTGTCCAATCGTTAATTTTATATCTCGAGATTAGTCAAAATATGCATAAACTGAATTCAAACATGACTACCAAAAAACAATTCATAAATCATACACTAATGCTAGGAACATAAAATATTACCCATTCATTTAAAATTATAATTTGTTAAAGTGTGATACTTCATATCTTCAGCACGCCCCTCACTTTTTTTTTTTTTTTTGATTCATACCCTCACTTTTTTATAAAACAAACCAAATACATGTCAAGTATGCTAATTAGAATCCTTTGATGTAAAGTATTTTAGTGGGATTAGTTAGAATCCTTTGATATTCATTGCATCCCTCTTCTTTATTGATTGTATTTTCCTCATTGACGTAAGCAATAAAGTTTTCTTTCGCCGATTAAAAAAAAAAAAAAAACAAGTAATGAAATTTCAACATAGAATCTATTGTTTATTTTAGTACCATGTTAAATTATTAACTATCAACTCAATTAAAAAATTTAACAGCAGTGCTATATACCAAAGAAAAAAAAAACAACAACTATGAGTCACATTCATTATGATTATAGTCCCCACCAAACCACATTAATTTTAAAGCTACACTATATACTTAAATTTGGGGATAAAATTTTTAGGTAGACAGGCATTTTTCAAAACATAAAACAGTTAAAAAGTGGGGCAAATTATATATTGAGGGTGTTTTGGGAAGATGGTGAAAAACTAATTTTTTAACTTTTTTTGATATTTTTTGAAAAACATGTAAATAATACGAGAGATGATATGATCTAAAATAAAAATAATTTTTAAGCCACTTTCCAAAAAGGCCTGAGTTGAAGTGTTATTAGCAAGCAACTCATCAAAGTCATATATATCTCGGAATATTACCATCAGACTTGGTGTCTAAGAAAAGCTCTCATGTGAAAGGTCGTAGAAAGTCTATCACATTATGTACTTACCTATTCTCAATCTTATCTAATCACTTTTTCTTTTCTTTTTTTAAATATTCATTGAAGAAGAAGAACTAATTTTAATGGCCTTAAAAAATACTCTTCAGCATCATATCTTTTTAATAATTTGAACTTGACAATATCACAATAGTGCGAGATCAAAATTCGACTCTTTAGTCTCATAAGAGATTAATGTCGTCTTTAAAATATCAAAAAATAGGGGGAAAAATTTATTGTTTTTATGGTGAATTTAAAGGAGGTTTGAGTTAATCAAAATTATTTTTCTCATCCTTTGTTCCATTTGTAATCTAGCTTTGTGAATTCCCCAACTGAACGCATGCATGCATGCACTCTAGAAGCGTGATAAGAACACTTCTCTCTCTCTCTCTCTCGGTGTCACTTCCCCCTTTAAAAAAAAAAAAGGGATCCTTTTTGACTAAGAGGACATGGGAAAAGGCGAAAAAGATCGAATAATTAATATATCACTTTTGAAACAGATGAAACCACAGTCTGTGTGTCACACCATTGTACAAGATAGCATAACCATATGTGTTTTGAAAAGTTGAAATTTTAATCAAAAAGTCACTATAAAAAAAAATTAACCTTCTTTCTAATTTTTTGTAAGTTTTTTTTAATCAAAAAGTTATTAATTCTCAAAACAACTTAAATATTACCCAACATAAGTCATTACTTAAAAGTTTTTAATTAGAGTGATGATATACAAATTAAAAAATTTATATAATTTTTTGTAAAGCGGAATTATGTGTCAAATTTGTATTATTTACATCAAAGTCATTTATTATTTCAAAAATACTATTGTCACATTTATTCAATAGGTTTTTTATTTTTAAATTTGTAAAATATTGTCCTTTTAAACAATTGTGGATAGTTGTGTCCACCGAAAAAAATTATACACACAACAAAAAGATAGCGTAAGTTCAAATTTGATGCGGTGTGGGCTACATCAAAAATATCTTCTTTCACAATTTTTTTTTTGGGGGTAGTTTTCAGGTAATTTTCCTCAATTGATATTATTGTTGTTGTCTGCCTCACCTTCTACCAGGACCATCTCTCTCTGTCTGTCTGTCTCTCTCTCTCTCTCTCTCTCTCTCTCTCTCTCTCTCTCTCATCTTTTGTGGTAATTTTCCGCAAGTTTTTCAGTTTCTCTATGTCAAAAATATGTTCTTCATGTAGTACAAAACAATAACTATCTAAGAAAAGAGCATCTCATCAATTTTGATAACAAAAACAAACAAACAAAAAAAATTGTAAAAGCATTTTGAAATCATCAGTCTCACAGAGGTTAGAGGATATAATTGCTAGGAAGAGAAAAACATTTCCCAAAAGAGAAAAGAGGCAAACCAGCCACGGAAATTAAGTAAAAGAACAGAAAAGAGATTAAAACCTACCAGGAAGCTGCCATGGTTCACATGTATGCAAGTCAATTTCCACCAAAGTTCCCTTCAAAACTTCTTCATTTGCAATCTTTTTGCGAAGATAATGGCAAACCAGTTCTTCATCACTTGGATAGAACCTAAACCCTGGTGGTAGTGATGCTCCAATGTCTCTTAGACCCATTTTTTTTGTTGTTTTTGGAGGGTATATAAAAAGGGTTGGTTGGATGGAAAATTGTAAATTTATACACTTTTATGAGTTTGAGATTCCAGAGAAAATTTATAGATCAGTTAGGGATTGGTGGGAGATGGAATGCAGTTGGTGTACAAAGAAAGCTTTGAGTTCTCTAGTTTGGGAGTTGGGAAATATTATGGGTGAAGAAAGGGATGTATTATTTTTATAGATGGGTTGACAGGTACTTCGGCCAAAGCCAATAGCCAAGCATTTTCTGTTATTAAATTTTTATCTTTTTACTTTAAAATACTTAAAATTTATAGAATGTGAAAAAATTTCAAAATACAAAAATTTTATTAACTGTATTTTGGGACAGATTATTCAACGTGCATAGCAAGTAATTTATCTGGATCAAGATTTTCTCTGCCAGTAATGATAAAAACCCCCACAAAATATCACTCTCACAACTTCTAAAATGATCTGAACCATTCATGTCACTGTCAGACACAATTCCAAAAAAAAATTCAAACACATTAATGGTCAATACATTAGCGGGGGTTATGGGGGTCTTCTTTTGTGGGGGTTCCAAACATTTTCCTTTTCTCTGCAATGACCTTGATATCACTACAACAATTTACATTTTTGCGACCAAATTTAGTGACTAAAAGGAATTTAGTTGCCAAAAGTGTAATTTTTGGTGACTAAAAAATGTATTGGTTGGCGTTGTTTTAGGATTTAGCTACTAAATTTTTTTAGTCGAGGTATATTATTTATTGGCAACTAAAAAAAATTTTAGTCGCTAAATATGCCATAACAGGCGACCAATACTTTTTTTGTCGGCGTTAGTCTAGTTTTTAGGCTACTGGCCTCGTTTGGGAACATGCTAATTTAGTAACTTTTTGACTATTTGGCTAAAATATAAGCTAAAAAAAACTAGCATGTTTGGGATAACTTTTTAACTTTTTACAAAAAGATGTGCAAAAAGTAGAGAGAAAAAAGAATCTTTGACTTTTTGGTATGGATTGTTGGCTTTTTGACTAATTAGTAACTTTTTGACTAAAATGGAGGGTTCCCAAAGTCTATTTTAGTCATGGTATGCTAATTTTTGCCGATTAAAAGTCAACAAATAACAGCCATAATTTTACTGTTACTCTTTGGCAACCAAAAAAATTTGTTTGGCAAATATAAAGTTTTGGTGATTGAAAAAAATTTAGTCGTGGTACATTCATTTTTTCCGACAAAAGAAAAACAAGTCGCCAAATGTCTACTTTTGGCGACTAACATTTTAGTCGCTATTAGAGTTGGTTTGGCTACTAAATAATTTAGTCACTATTACTAAAAATTTTGCCGACAAAATTTGACATTAGCCGCCAAAGGTGCCAAAATTTGAGTGGGAAAATAAAAAGCTATTGGCGCCCTGTTTAGGAATACCAAACACTGTCTCTCTCACATATACAATCAGTCACCACCAAACCTCACATCACCTCACCGCATCGCAGGCGCTCACTGCCGAGAAGCATTCAATGTCGCACATCGCCACCGCCCCAAAACGCCACCTCCACCACCGCAATACCAGGTTCTCTTGTTCTCGAGCTTGCCCTATCTCCTTTCACTCTTATTTCCCAAATCTGTCTCAGTTTTGCTCTCTCTCTCTCTTGATTTCGCTCTCGATATTTCTCTCTCGACTTCGCTCTATTTCTCGCTCTATAAATTGCCATGGTCGTCTGAAGAAGAGGCCTCAAATAGTATGAACTTCCCTAACTTCGTTATCTAGTAATCTCTTCGTGCTCCTTCTTTCTCTCTCGGATCTCCTCTCTCTTTGTTTCTTCTTATTTTTTGATCCGAATCTACTTCTAGGGTTTGGATCGACGTATTCACCGACTCTTGTCTTACCTAATGTTGCTTGTCGTGATTTTGAAATGGTTAATTCTCTCTCTTTCATCAATTCTATTAATTGAATTGTTCTGTTCGGTTGTATGTGTTGAATTTTGATTGAGATTGCTAGAATCAATCACCTAAGTTTGTCGATTCTTATGCTCTATTTTTTCCCTTCTATTGCTTCAGATTCATACAATTGATGAGAGGTAATTTTAGTGTTTCGTGTATGTTTGTGATGTCATTGAATATAAATAATGATGATATTAAATATATCTTAGCAATCTGTGTGTTTTATCCATAAAACCTAGGATGTCTAAGAAATCCTTTGCATTGAAATAGATTGAATATTTTTTTCCTAGGTTTTGTATTTAAAGAAAAATGTTTTGCTATGTTTTGTATATAAATTCTAGTTTAAAAAACTCAAACCTTACAGTATATCCAAATTCATATAACTCATCAATGAGAGAGTGAGGGTAGAGAGAGTAGGAGGCAGAGAGAAGAGAGCAAGAGTTAGAGAGGTGTGACAAAGGGGAAGAGAGAGAGCCTGAGAGACTAGTGAGAAAGTCAGAGAGGAGTGAGAAAGAAAAGAGATTAAATGAGAGAGGAATTGTGCAATTGAGAGATGAGAAGGTTTAGTGACCAAGTGAGATGGAGACGTTCTTTTGAATCAATAAGAGTGAGACATCTATTATTTTTTTATAACAATCAGTGAGAATGAGACTTTAGTGGTATTTATAAACAAAAAAATAAAAAAAATGGAGAACTCATTAGTGAGAAACCTTGTATAAATATGCTACTGTCTTGATAGCGCTTCTTGTTGAAATCAACAGATTGTATGGAGTGGTGAAATGTTATGATCCTCAAAAAAAGAAACATGTGGTAAGTTGTACTATTCTGTCCTTTTTTTAAAAGAAAATTTCATTTTAAATACTCATAGCTAATCATGCTTTGGAGATGCTTTTCATCAATAAAACTATAATTATATCTCATATAATTTCATTGGCTAAGGGGATCTTCTAACCCCATGAGATGTAAGGATAGTTCTTTTATACCTATTATCTTGAGTTGTGAGAGTTTTACTTTCTTTATAGACTATAGGTAGCTTGATTCTTGAAGCATCTCATTTAACCTTTCTATAATATATATTTTTGAATACAAAATTTATTTACTTACCAAAAAAAGAAGTTTTCTCTTATCAATTTTGTGTTAAAGGTACTATATGATGATGGAAATATGGAAGAGCTCTGTTTAGATAAAGAGCGCTGGGAGCTTATTGACAATGGTCACAAGCCTAGGAAGGTTAGATTTCTAATATCTCTTATGTGTGAAGCTACAAACTTGTAGATAATTTGAGGAGAAAAATAAGTTTTTAAGCTGTTCACAGAAAAACAAAAAAATCAATTGATATGTGAGTTTCATTTCAAGTGCTATTTTGAAAAAAAATATAAAACTAATACTTTATGGTTTTCATTCTTATGAAGGCTGTTTAGCTCAACAAATTTGATTACAGACTTTCAAATAGGTTGGATACAGATTTACAAAAGCTTCGATGTAGAGTTAACTATCATGCCTTGAAGTTCACTGATCCTGTAACCGAAATGGCTGAACAATTGGTCCATTGAATGAGGATGAGAAGCAAGCATTTTATTGCCCTTCACCTAAGGTAATCTCTCTCTCTCTCCCATTCCCTCCTTATTTAGGTTCTGGTTGCTGTTTGATTCTTATGGGCTACTAATTGTTGATATGGGTTCATCAATATATTTTATTTTCTTTATGCCCTCCTACTGCTATTATTCTTAATGCGTACAAAATAATAATATGTTCCCTGGATCTCTGATAGAGGCATTTTAGTAATTACTGCATAGTTCAACTTGATTTCTCACTTATTGAAATGGAGCAAATTTGGAATGAGGTTGCCATGGGGTGATTTTGATATTTTCTTTTCTGAAGTACCATTTATCTTTTAAAAGTTTAGTTCAAAAGCTCTTTATTAGAAAATTTCTATCATGTCATATTCAATCTAAATTGTTTCACAACCATTTAGTTTAATACTAACGAACTTTTTAATGATATTGCTTTTATCTCTTGCTTTTTGGTATTCTTGGTTGTTTTTTATAGTTGTCATTTTTGCCAAGTGAGTTTAGAATTCAAACTCAAGCTATTTGAGTGTACAGCTTTGTTTCAGCCGCCAGTTTTGGAGCTCCATTAATCGAGCTGACTATATGGCCTTGCACTTGGGCTTCATTACTGTAAGAATATTTAAATGGATCTTTCCTACCTATATATTTTTATTGTGGACCTTCAGAACTGGCTGATCAAATGTAGATTGTTGTATAGGAGTTTTGGACAGTTCTTCAACATAAGCTCACAGTATAGTGTTTTATCTAATCATGGTATTAGTTTTTTAGGGCCATGACTTGAAACACATACAACTGAATTCCATAGGGTGGATAATTATAAAGGAGGAATGTTTTAGTTGTGGACAAGCAACAAATTTTTTTGTTATTTTGTCTCGGTTAGCTTGGAAACAAAAACATTTAAAAAACATAATGGAAATGAGAGGGAATTTAGAAACATATGAAATTATTTTGAACCAAAAATTGAAGTCTATATAAATGCTTATACATTCTCAATAATTGAATAATTGAACAGGCCTATACATATCATTGCATAAAGGGAACAAGTGTACAATGTTAGAAAATAATGGTTTTTCGACAACTTTAATTCAAAATTAAAGTGGGACCCAACTGTCAATTGAGATGGGTTTGAGTGGTTTTGTATTATCTCAAGTGAGAAGATTATAATATAAAAATGATGGGCCGAAACCATTGAGTTGTGAATGAAAATTGTCTCATAAAGTGGGCATCAATAGAAGTTGGGCTTGGGCTTAGGCTTGGACTTGGACTTAGTTTTAGTCTTGGTCTGCATGGTCTAGGCTTGTGTATGTGCATGTGTTGGACTTAGTCTTGGGCATGGGCTAAATTGTGTTATGCTAGACTAGGCTTATCTTGTACATATATTTTAGACTGGGTTTGGATCTGTAACAACCCTCATACTGTTTACCGATTAATGACTGACTGATTACTGATAAACACTGATTACCGTTAAACTGAGCTGATTAAAGTACTGAACTGACTGACTGAAAACTGGAACTGAATTGACTGAGTGTGTATATTAAATTGTATTCTATCTGTTCATGTTTATATGTTTAGACTGTAAGTTGAAGGCCTTATCGGCGGCCGAATCCGGAATTGATTGAAGTTTTATGATCATCATAATTTGTGTGATTTTATGGTGTAATTATCTGAAAACTGATTAGGTAT